CTGTCCACACCTGTCCACACCTGCCCACACCTGTCCACACCTGTCCACATCTGTCCACACCTGTCCACACCTGACCACACCTGTCCACACCTGACCACACCTGTCCACACCTGTCCACACGTACCTGTAGCCGCCGCCGCCGCGCGTCGGCGCCTCGTGCGGCCACTTCTTCATCACATCCTTCGGCAGTGACCGTCGGAACGCCTGCTCCCGCGCGCCAACACCTCCCTGCACGACGTCCAGCCCGTGACCTCCGACCCCATGACCTCCGACCCCCCCGGCACGCAGCAGGTCGTACGCTCCTCCGTCCGGCACGTCCAGCGATCGACCTCGCGCGACCTCGCCCCGCGGCCCGCCTCCGCCGCCGCCGGCGTCCCCGCCCGTCAATGCGTCGCCACCCACGTTGCCATGGGCACCGCTAAACGTCGCCATCTTCCGCACGCCGCGCCCGCCGCCGCCGCCGCCGCCGCCGCCGCCGGAGTCTCCGTAGAAGTCAGGCATTGCGGAGAGGTATCCATGCTGGACGGACGGCGGGCGGCTCTGCGAGTCCGACTTGCGTAGGATGAACTGCACCTCCGCGGCGTACTCGCCCCACTTAGAGAGCGCGCGCGCGGGAGACTCCGCCGGCGACATCAGCTTCTCGTTGTCACGCCAACGCTCGACGAGCACGAAGCGACCGGTCTTCCCCGTCGCGTGCGCGAGGGCGACGACGACGTCTTGACATGTCGTCTGCTCGCTGACGCCACAGATGATGCGCTGAATGCCCTCCACCCACACCTTCAATTCCATCTTCAGCTGCAAAGATGCAAAGCAGGGGGGGGTCATTAATATATTATACTATATATATATACTTATTATTATAGCTTATAGCTTATATTCATGCTAGATTATGTCAAGGGCCTCTAATAGCTTTGTTATATTAATTATTAAAATGTTAAATTATTAAATTTAAGCAAATTATAAGCAAAGCAGGGAGTCATTATTATATTACTCATTCACGCACGCACGCACGCACGCACGCACGCACGCACGCACGCACGCACGCACGCACGCACGCACGCACGCACGCACGCACGCACGCACGCACGCACGCACGCACGCACGCACGCACGCACGCACGTAGGCATGCCATGCTGGTAAGCGTTGTCCGCTGATATTATACATCACCGTGATGATGAGTCATCACAGTACATCACACCAACTAGGTATCTCACGTCGCCCGCGGCCGTGCTCTATGCTTACACATATATATATATATATATATATA